TTAGCGAATAATTGAGTAAGTCAGAAAGACTCAACAAGTTGGCCATTTACGATGGTTTCCTCCCAAAAACTGCTCTCTCAGCTGATGGCATGTCAGATATGTCTGCTCTGCGAGACGGAGATAGAACATGCTTGAATGTGCACTATCATTATGCGAAAGCGAGATTTTGATCAGACTCACCATACTATTAACTGCGTAGGATTGTGGCACAGGAGGAGGTGTCATTACGGATGTTTCTTCAATGACAACGCCTTCGCATCTTGCAAAAGCCTCAAGCCAGCGTTCAACGTCAAACCATGTAGAGATCTGGATTTCCATGTCACCTGAAGTTTAGAGAGATGAGCTCTGCGGAATTTTCAACATAAGATGAGTTGTCTAAATATTATAAAAACTTTGAAATTTCCAATCATACCTACTACAAGCCCACCGCGATTCTCCATACACCGTACGCGCAAACCATTTGTAGGTATCTTCCTGAGCAATTTGTACGAATTTACGTCCAATGTAATCTCCAACACAATAAGCATTTTTGAAAACAGGGCGAGACATCTGTAGTGATAACATGATATGAATTAGGAATAACATATAAGCAGAAACAAAAAAGACTCATCACCTATCATCGCAAGCTCCATCGTAGACCACGGGTGCTACAGCAACGTAAAGAATGCGGCCCCGCTGCTCAAATGAAGCCCACCCTTCGACTTGGCCAGTGTACAAAAGTTCTAGTTGTAGCTCTTTCTGCTTACGGACAGCTTCACACAGTAACTGCAATGAAGACAAGATTCAATGGGTTTGTGAATAAATGTGAGACTGCACCAAGTCTGCAAACCACCCTACCTTCATTTCTTTAAAAACAGCACAAGAGCGTTGTACATCACCACGGTCGACATGTCCCTCCTAAATTAGCAAATCAATAGCAAAGATTTTCTGCTGTGCTAGATAGCAAGAGCCCCAATAGTTAACGATGAAAGAAATCTTGGTTAAAGATGAAGTCCAACCTTCCCTGCTAACCAGATTACCGATAAAGTGAAGATCACTGAAGTAGTAAACAAA